ATGAAAATCACCGTGGCGCGAGACACGTGGACGTTGTGCGGTTCGCGGGGGGCTGCCGTTCGAAACACGCGAGGAGCGCGCGCGATCCTCTGATCCCCTCAACTGATATCGGCGACTACTCGCAATGCTGCAGCAACGCGGTCACTATAACCCAGCGACTCTCTCTCTCTTTTTTCATTCTTTTCCACGAAACCCCCGTCACACGAAACAGAGCTTTTTTTCAAATCAAGTTCACGGTCTGCGCTCCGCTCGAGTCGAAGAAAAGGAACAATCACCATGTTAATTCGCTTCGATCGCACGCGTTTTTATTCTCTCAGTTTTGTTTCCAAGGGCTTTTTACCTTTTTACCGGCAGGCGTGACTTGGTTAGGACATAGATGCCTGTATGCGAGCATTCGGTCAAGTTAATTTACTCTTGTGATTATGTACATTTTAATGTTTTGTGATATGACGTCATCGAGCGATAATCTTTCGTGGAATTCCCACGCAAATAAATCATTCGTCCGTGGTAAAAGTATTAATTCGAAGATTTCTATTAAGCCTTGTTTATTTATAAAACAAGAGCTTTTCGGTCGTGTATTAAAAACGTTGATTTTTCAAAGAGCGCAGCTATAAAAGCAACCGAATCCTTCTCCTTTTTCAGGTCACACGCACGAGTGCAACTCTCGTAATCCGTCCCGTAAAACCCGATGAAACGACACACAAAACGCGAAGGTTTATGTGCCAATCGCGATATTGCGAGCGAGCTTAGCCTCGTAAAAGTTGGTGCATTTATGCGACGTAGCGTAGTATGATTCACACGTGCTCATTTTCTGCTCGACGTTTTGCCTTTCGTTTAGCCGCGGAGGCGCAATTGTTGTTATTGTTTGCTGGCTGGTTTGTACCGAAATTAATAAATTGAATGAAGGCCGGGAAAGAAGGCACGCCAAGAAAGCGTTCAAACAAGAGAGCCGAGTATTTCCTGGCGCGTCCGATTCTGTGTGTACGTGTGTATAACGGGGAGCCAGCTCTCGTCAGCCATTGAGTACATCGTCGCCGGGAAAAAGAAATCGAGTTTCGTATGATAGATCGTCTCTGTGTTTGGCTTGATGGCGACGCGTCGTGCCGTCACGCGCACGTTATACACGCGCAAAGAAACGAGAGAGGGATGAAAAGAGCAACGGGTAGGGGAGGGGGAGGAAAAGAATGCTCATCTCGGGGGATACGAAAGAGAGAGGGGGACGAGAGATTCAGCGTAATGTGGCCCGGCCAACCAGAATTTACCGAAAGAAAAAAAATCGCTTCACGAGCTGTATAACCACGCCCCGAGTCGCTATTGTTTGTTGTATACTGCTGTTGTCGTTTTTTCCAAGTTAAGCTTCATGATTCTGTATGGAGGAGACATTTCTCGATTGTGATGCTAATCGGAGCGTCAGTTTTCGTTGCTGTTAGTTAAGAACGCGAATTTATTGTTGCATCGGAAATAACTGCGGTATCTGGCGAAATAGTTTCTCCTCACCGAGATTCAAATTGTCGAAATGAACAATGAAGTATCTAAAAACAAACTGAGCTCAATTTATTAACATTGGAAGAAAATGAAAACGGCCCGCGTAAAATTGTGCGGAAGCAGCAACGAGGCTAACAAAAAGCACGCGCACTCGCAGAAGCGCGAAACCCAATCCTCGCGATAAGCATCGAAATGAAGCCGCGAAATTTCAGTATACATTTCGGCCCCATCCACGTACGCACGGCATGCACGCATGGCAACAAGTTGACAAAAGGCAAAGATAAGCCGGCAATTGGCTCGGAGTGAGCTTTCGCCAGAAGAGGGTGAAATGCTCTCCTGAGAAGGGTTTGCATGTCTGGAGGCAATGAGCCGCGCGTGGTCCGTCATCATCTCCCCGTTGCCTTTATTAATTCGACTATAATGAGCTTTTAAGCGCGTGAGCCGAAGAGACGAGCGGTTTGTTCAAGATTGCGAGCTCATTGGCAGTTAACGCGCGTGCTATTAAGTTAAATTGAGCTTGCTTACGGCCGAGAGACGCCGTATTCCCGCTGCATGTGCACCGCGCCCGTTTACTGCCGCGCTGATCGCATGAGCGCATTCTAGATAAAAATATGAGCGCTGGCGGATGTACGAACGCGGGAGAGGGACTCTCTCTTCCTTTTTTTATTTCTTTGACTTGAGTATACGTATTACGCAGTCGATATGTTATACGGGAAGTCGAGGTGCACGACAATTTCTTGGCTCTTTTGTTCGCTCTTCGGGGCGCAAACTTGAGCGCGCCGATGAACAACAACACGCAAAATTCATATCATTCCCATTCCAAGATAAACTTGAGACGAGAGCGATTATCTTTTAGAAATTTTATTGATTTCGTAGTGTGCGTACATGCTGACCGATCGAGCCACTCGTGACAAGACGTGTTAACTGTATCGCTTGGTGCCGCTTTTTATCCTCTGTCAGTATCTTAGATCGCCGATATTGGACTGTTTTAGATTGAACGATTATTTTCGACAGCCCGGCAACATTGTTGCTATTACTAACAAAGAAAGTTCAATGTATTTTGCTTTATATCTTTATGTATAAACACATTGACCAGTATGAATTTTCTTGTAATCTTGACGGTAATGATTTGGTATCATTTGAGGAAAACCGTCTAGACTATTTACAACCGCGGAGATAATCAAGTTGGGATTGAAGACTCGCCGTGAGAATGTGTAATTCACTGCTTTGTAGCTTGTTCAAAATAAGCACTAATACCAACATTTTGCTGACTATTCTATGTGTTGTTATACTCTATAACATAGTGCTACTTCAAACATCAATTGCAGTCGTAAAATTTATCGCGAGCATATTTCACTTTACCAAGAATGTATATTTGTTACCATAGATCACGACGCAAATTTGTCAAGTGTCCGAGAACCATATCTTTGTCATTCTTTAGTTATCGGATATATAATTCGAAAGCATAAAGTATTTATTATTCGCGGATCAACGCAAGAATAGCTATGATACACAAATTTAAATAACTTCTTATCGAAGGTCACAAACTAATAACGTTCGAGGATTTCAAGTTCAAACACAGTATTTTGAAAAAAAATTTTACTTGATGATGCGCAGCAGAGCTGACGGTAGTCTCCGTGAGATAATCGTAGGTGATTATTTAGTAGTTCAATTATTCGTAAACTGGTACGTCACTTATCGGTGCGCCAATCATTGCGTCTTAATAGAAACAGTTTTTCGATAAACTCATAGGCAATTATTCAATCAGTTAGTGATATAACAACGATTAGACTATTATTTCACTGATAAACCTACGTCATTTTAGATTTGTTGCCATCGTGCAGGAAATAATCTCTTTAAAACGTTACATTCACGGGTTACAGTTTCGATGATGTCGCGGCTTATAAATCGCATGTTTCCATCTTCAAGGATATTAATCGCGTTGAAAAATTAAATGACTGTAATATTAACGAAAAAATTGTAGTTAGACCAATATAAACACTTTTACGTTCAGTCTATCAAATAATGAAAAAATTGTTACAAAATCAATACTACTATCTTTATACTTCTATCGGAAATCGAATATTGATAAAAACATTTGTTTGTTTAATCTAAAAATCGATTGTGTTTTTTAACTATCCCTTGAATTTATACGTCAGTTACTATTATGTCTATCTTCATTAGTGTATCTATTATTCTAAATCACAAACAGAGATTTCCAAATTAAAAAAGAAATAAGTAAATTACCAATCAGTTACTAAGATTAAGCGAATAGTTCTGTATTTGACGTATATCGTCAAATTTAATCAATAAATAACCAAAATTTTGTTACTAATGATTCTAATATAACAGTTTCGTTAATAAAACCATCAAGCTCATATCTTCAGCGCCCTTGACAGATGTCACCTATGCACATGTCCTATCGACGTGCAATTGCCGGCTTCAGTATAATGAAGTTTATCTTGGTGACTCGTAATGCGCGTTCGCGATAAATCGAAGGGTGTAAGTGCTTCTCCCTGTGGCGCGCGAAGTATACATGCGCGCGCGCGATTGTAACGTTCGCCACTGACAGATAGAGAGTTGGCAAGCGCTTGTCACGTTTGATTTATGGCCGCCGTCCCGTCGCGTATTCGCTTATCTCGCGCTTATCCCTTTTCATCCGTTGTGAGTAACTTATCTGTTGCGCTCGTTGGCCAACTCCACTTCTAGTGTGCCACCATACGCTGATTTCCTCAATTTTCTCTCTTTTTCACTTGTGGCAGATTGAGACGTTTGATATTACTTTAGTAGTAGTTTTAATTTTTCAGTAGGACGGTTTTTTGTAAATCAAAATATCATGTGTGTGCTACTGGCGATGATGGTAATTCAATTAGCAATTTTATCAGGTAGCGTTTTATTTGATTTACAAATTATGTACTTGATATTTTAGCTACTTGTGTTTAGCTTTTATTGAGATGCTAAAAGTACGCGTTGGACTATCTGATATAAATGTCTGTATGTTGAATATAATTAGAGCAAAAGAAACAAAAAAATATTAATTTTGCATTAACATTAATTTGATGATATTTTAAAAATTTGAGGTGAAGTTTTTCAGAGCATAGGCAGGTACGAGTCTTTTACATTTTCATCCGAAATTTACTGTAAAACATTTTTATGTTGATAAAGAAATGTTTACGCAAAACAGTTTGATTTAGAATGAATCAAAATGATGCCACAGACAAACAGCATTTTCTATGGAGCAATTCTAAAAAAAATATTCTTATTTCAAATGAACTAGTTGAAGAATTAAGCGACCTCATCCAAAAAGTTATTAATAATCATTATAGTGCAATGAAATTCTTGTCGTATCAGTTTGACGCAACGTTCCCATACCGAATCCGTTACCCGTAGCTGCATAATGTTTTATCCCGGCCACTGGCGCGAGATCATCAGTCTGCAACTGATTGAATGATGCTGCATCTTTGTATCGTATTTTGCACTCTAATTTCACGCTGTAAAGACTAAAAAGCAGTCACCTGCGGGTTTAGGTACATTCCTCTTGACCTGCATCCATTTGTAAGTGGGTACAGATTGTGCCGATGGTTGCTGAGAAACTTGATGTTGTTGCTGCTGTTGTTGCGCCTGATGATGATGGGGTTGCTGATGATGATGCGGATGATGATGCGTATGGTGATGCGAGTGCACGTGGTTCGGATGGACCGCTGGCTGTTGCGATTGAATGCCATGATAAACCACGTGATCTGGAGTCTCCTCTTTGAAATGTTGCTGTTGCGAATAGACACTATCCTGTCGGACATTGCTAGCAGACGTGTACTGTTGCTGTAGAGTATCATCATTTAATGGATGAAGATAAGTCGGTGCGATCTGGTAATCGGTAGAATCATGACTAGATTGATGCTGCTGAAGGTCCGGTAACTCGGATGCCCTGAGAATCGGTGGACCCAAGCTCGTTGGATGCTGCTGTGCTCGGTGTTCTTCAGCCCTGTAAATCGCCTGTACCGGTTGGTAACTTTGATGATGCTCGGCTCCAAACCCCGGCGGTTGGGTATTCGCATAGTCCAAATTGGTATAGCTCAATCCATTTTCCGACGAGATGATCGGCGCTGTACCCTCCTCCGTCGTATAAAAGTTTTGCTGTGGTGGCGTACTGCTACTGGCGGTTGCATTGTTACCGTCGGGTATGAAATTGTCCGGACTACTTGAGGTATATGGAGTTTGTGGATAGTAATGAGCAGTAGCAGCGAGTTCGGGTGATGAGGAGACAGAAACGTGTCCGACGGATTGGTGGTGATGGTGATGATGACCGACGGACGCTTGATGATGATGGTGGTGATGATGAGCACCTGCAGCGAAGCCGTAGTTCGGGTAGGAGTCAGACTTGCCGTAGGTACCGTACATGCCCATGTCCATCATCATCATCCTCGCGCCGGAATTGCATTAACCTTCTCTTGCTGGCGCACAAACTTATGGTTGTCCTTTACGAGTAATTTATCGGTTTATTAAATAATTAATTCACATATGCACCCATCAATGTTCCTTTAATTAGCCTATTTCCATGTAAATCTTTACATTTTGAATTTGAACGTAGACTCCATGTTTAGCGATCGAAACAACTGTTTAGTTCACGTATTTTGTATTGTTGTAAATCGATTAGAACGACTAGCCACCATTAAATATACGTAGTCAATAAACCATCAAATCACTTAATCATGTGTGTTCAATGAGGTGCCCCAAGGCTTTAGCAATCGTTCGCACACTCTCGTATATTGTTCATTCCTTTCTCTTTGCGTGAAAGTCGCGCGTGACCGCCGGCGTCGACTGCTAAGAGCGAACTAACTGGGCAGGCAGGTGACGCAGGTAAAAGCCAGTTTCTCACTCCACTTTTTGTTGCCGAGGGGAGAGGGCTGAACCGTTTCTGTACAGTAGGCGTTTCCCAGCTGGCCACGTGATCGTCAGGAGGCGGAGTTTCACGACCAATCCAATGCTTTGCTCGAGAGTCAGCGTGATGGATCATCTTTTTCTCTCTCTTTCTCCGCGTGTGCGGATTTCACGTACGTTTTATCTGGCTCGATGCAGCCGCCCAGCTTTTAACTTTCAAAACGCTACCACCCAGCCCACACCTGTCTCTCCTTGCTTTAATTTAATTAAAAGAGACGTTTGACGAGTTCATCAACTGACGCATGCAGCGATGTATGTGTGCCCGCGAATGTGAAATACGATGATGCGAATCTTGCGGTTTCTCCGGATTCGCGCTGAGAGCGACGCTCACTTGCATGGATTTCCTTTTACAAAATTGCCTTTCTGATTAATCGTTCAGTGCATTTTCATACAAATTCTCGTTACCTACAGTTGGCTTCAATAAATTCTAAAAGAAATTATTTGTATAATGAGGATCTTTTTGTTACAAAATAAAATATGAAAAATGGAGATTTCATTATTATGAAACTTTCATTACTAAAAACTTATTTATGTATGTCAATGAAGTGTGATGCGCTTGAAATAATTAAATAAAGTTATAGTTGACATCGCTATTACAGAATTTTGTATAATGCTAACGTTATTGTGATTCACTCAAGTCTTACTGCGGAAAAATGCAATTGGGACGACGTGAAATCTTTTACAAAGCGCTTACATTCTATTACAAAACATTCCTTTCCAACATATGAACACGGAAAAAGTTATCGATTTTCCTAAAAAAAATTGTATAATTATTTTAAGAGAATAGGAAAGAAAATACTAAATAGCCGTCCAATTACCAGCCAGCCGAACAAATATGCCCGTTTAAAAAAAAAAAAAAGAAGAAATTGTTGTCTCGATGGCAGCTGGTACAAACTGCCGTATAAACGGTCCGCTCGGTTGCTGGCGCGATCGTTGATGCGAGATACAAAAGCTCAGGCAATTTGTGAGTTTTCAGTGGGTTTCAGCAGCGCCGTGCGATCACTTAATTCGTTGGCTGCGCGCCGCTGCGCCACGAATTCATCATCCGCGTGTCGTCGGCAACTTAAACTAACAATGCGCCTCTGCGACCAGCAGCTTTAGCCACGCAAAGTCCCCTTGACTTTCTTCCTCAGATCTATCTTATGCACGTCACGAGGATGTGTGTCACGAGGATTTTCGGAATAAGAGTATCGTTAACTGCTTCCAACTTCGTTTTATTTGTGATCGCTCAATCGGCATCTGTAATATGTGAGCAATCTTGGTTTGGATAGGACCGCTATATGTGAAACGTTTTATGCCTACAATATTTTTGTATTTATATATTCACGAGAAGTTGTGTATATATCCTTTTTGGTAAGTCGATGATGAAGACAAATGACACTTTGGAGAGATGAAAAGTTGAAGGATTGTTTTATGATCGCGTTAATTGGGCGACACGAAAGCGCTGTTAATGAAAATGTAATTGTAACGATTAAGCGCACTTTGACGTTATGATGATTAAGTATTATGCATTGGCTCACAAGCTACTACTGTTGCTGTTGCTGCATTATGATTTATGTCGGACCGATCACCGTTCTGTATTTAATTTATCTTTAAGGAAAATAAAGTTATATCAGCATTGAAATATTGCAGTTTAACACAAAAATGAACGAGGTGTGAATAAATTAGCATCGTAGATTTCACAATTTACCAGATTTCACTTACACAAATCTATCACATTATATTACAACTTATTATTTAGTTTTTCAACTATAGCATCTTTTAGAATTATAGCAGTGTGTCCACATCAAATTTTTACGTAAAAATATGCATTTATAATTTGAAAACAACTTTTTTCACTAAAACCAGTATGCAAAGTAGAGCGAAAATGCTGGCCAGTGATATTGCATATGAATTAATTAAAAAATCGTCGAAGATCACCACTGAACAAGACGTTCGGACCCGTCTAACTCACGCGCGCGCATTGCAAGTCGCGAAAAGCAAGCGCATGAATTTTTATGCTCGCTTATCGAGCCTCAACGCCATATAACATCTGAACACGATAAAGCGATCAAGCAAGTCCAGCAACGGCAGCAGCAGCTGAATAAGTGATCTCGCGCAAATGATCGCGAACGAGGCGTCGAAGACACTAATATATGAACGGGAGATGGGAAAAAGAAGAAGTAAAAAGAAGAGAAAGAGGGCCGATGTCTCATAGCCATGGCTGAAGTTCACTGACAGGATGACACATTCCTTACCGTAAGATATTCTCGAGTGTGAGATATTGTGAGCGCCACCAGTGGCCTTCGATGGCATGATCGGTATGGACGATCTCCTTGATTAAATGTCAGGCGCGATTGTTCTACTAACGAGCCTGTTGTCACCCCCCCCCCCCCCACCCCCCCTTGATGAATTCATTTCTCTCGGTGAGTGGTACGCATACGTGTTACGCAATGACTAGCTCGTTTTTAAAAAGAAAGGATATTTTCGAGAGATCAATAGCGTTGTCAACGGAAACTTCCAATCCGAAATCTCAGTTGGTTTCATTCAAAAAACCACTGCATCAAAGCTATGTGCTCGATCGCTCATGCAGGCTTGTTAATCGCTCGCAAGAGAAAGCTGCGTAGACATGATATACTGTCAGGTGCCTCGGCGCTGCGACTACGAACCCTTTTAAGGATTAATTGGCAGTTTCTTGACACACTGGCATCATTCGTCATCCAACACACAGCCTCTTGTCAAAGTTGACAAATCCTTCCCTATAACCCAGATACGTTGCGTCGTTTGCGTTTCCTTGAGAGGCAAATCGTGTTCAATTGTTGCCTCACTAACGCGGATAAACGTTGTAATTTTGTGGCTGATAAGATCTCTCTCGAGGCTCATAGTTTTCCGTCGAAAAGGATACCAATTAACGAGGTAAACAGTAGATTATCCTCTCGGAAAAGTAAGCGGCTTCGATTCCCTTTCAAATTTCAAAAACCGCCGCTCTGAAAAATCGTGTTTAGCTGATTCGGTGACCAGTCAGTCGTGGATGATCTCTTTCCCGAGACAAATTTCGGGCGTTTGAGACGGTAGAAAGTCAAAACGTCGTCCGGCACGCTTAAGGTCCTCTTAAACAATTGGCACGGCCAGTCGATCGTCCTATACTTATATTTTTTTTTATCCGCAGTGTCCATTCGGCTCTCACGGGGTACAATCTTTCTCGCCGCTCGCGGCGCCATGCTGAGTTTTGACGTGGGATGAGGCACCTGCATTGTCATGCTGTCACGTCTGAGGCTTCCTTTCAAGCTGTACTGCAAGGCATCGCCGAGCCACCCATGGGTTCTCGGTCTTAGAATCTTCGATCTCGCGTTCGCTCTCGGACAGTTGGAGAATGAGAAATTTTGACGTAAATATTTTGCATGATGCGCCCCGTTTGCTGTGCGCATGTATAGGCTTCGTGCGTGTGTGTCAGGGCCGATGGTTTTTGCCTGGGATTTCTTTCACGGAGGCGCGCCCGAGTCAGTTTTTTCTTTTGAACTCAGAGCTAATGGAATTTGAGAAACACGGTAGTTAGCGGGTTAAATGGCTTGTGTTGGATTTAGCACCTTCTTAGTGTCGGGGGCGATTAACTTCGCTTGTAATTTGGGTTACCACCGGCTGAGAAGTCGGCAAACTTATTATATAGCTTTTTGATTGCCTCAAGTAGGATTCAAAGACTCTGATGGAGTCTAAGAAAATAGTGAACCGTCATTGTCATTACCGTATGTTTGTCAGTTTCACAATTTATACATTTAATATAGTTTTTCAAACTATGAGTTTCAAATGTTCAATTTTCTAACAGAATTTTATGTAGTAGAATTCTAAAATTTTCGAGGGACAGATTTCATTAAAAAAGAGGAGTAAGATTTTATTGATATCACTATCATGTTACTTAGTTTAAAATGTTTAAAGAGCGCAGTATTTCAAATATCGAATGCATATTTAAAACTGATAATATCAAATAACGTTGAATTTCTAAATAAAATCTTGGATTTTTAATGCAGCAAAAGTATGTTTACGAAATTAATTTTCAACCATGGCACTGCCAATTTTCAAAATAATAGTGTTAAAGTTCCTACTTTAAATGATCTTGAAAAAAGTGGTTTTCGAAAGGAAAAGCCATTTCATTGAAAAGTTTCCAATCAAAGCGAGCTCAACAATAAGAGAAAAAAGAATGTGAATCCATGGCATTAGCGTGAAAAAAGAGGTTCTGTAAGGACACTGGTAAAGGCGGAGTAACGGTAAATGTCTGGGACAACAAGTACAAGCCATCCAAAGAACGTTTTGCTCGCTCCCTCGAGGTTGAGAGGAAATCTTTTCCTTGCGGCAGGCGTGCAACTCATTGTCATCGCGAGCTACCTATTATGCCTAGCATAAACACGGATCTTTTTTCGGGTGTGCCACTGGCATTTGAAATCGTTTAAGACGTGACGTCTACACAGAAAGGCCTTGTGTGGTTGTCGAGGATTAAAAAATCAAAAAAGGATGTTTGCGTACGAGCGGCGGGCAAGCCAGCGTGAATTCTTGTCCTTTTTTTCTCGTAAATTTGGATCGTTATTGATTTTCTACATTACGCAGTCACACGTATGATCGCAGGATTTACGAAAATGTGAATTGTTTATTTAGTTGATCCTATGACTATATAT